GGGGCTTAAATTAATGAAATATGAAATAAAAGTAATAGAATCATCATTGACTAAATGTAATCAAAAACGTAGGATAAGCAACACGGGTTTCGTATACAATGTAAACTTTACTGCCTCCTGTTTCCCCGGCTACACTGCTATAACGTATGCCTGATGTGCTTTCGTTCTTCTTCGGAGGTCGACGTAATGTTGGGTCATTTTTGCCTTTATAATCAAAAACTTCTCCTGTTAGCACTTGAGCGAGAAACACTTGACGTTTCCCATGCTGTAATTGATAAGAATAGCTTTGGCAAGAATATGAAGCATTCATAGCAAAATATGTCCCGATTCCCCACAGACCACTTGTACAAAATGTCATGTCAAAACCATATTCGCCATTATAAATTTCATTGGGCGGTGCTGTTCGAGTACCGTGAAATAATTCCATTTCAATTTGTAAATTAGGCTTATTACTTAATTCTTGTTGAAGAGTTCGACGACGAAGTGCATAATGATTCCATAATCTTAAATTTTGTACTCTTTCGATCTTATCAATTTTCACATTGCCTATAGTCTCCTTCATGCGTTTTTCAATACGAATAAAATCAGAATGAGTTTTAGGTAATTCGACTAATTTACATTGTTCTTCTTGGTCATCCCATTCTTTAGGTATATTTAATTGATCATCTTTATCAACTTGCAACCTCAAAATATCTTGTACATATAAAGAAATTTGTAATTTTGCTTGTAAGATATTTTGTCGGAAACCTTTCAATATCAATGATAAATTTCCGGTAGAATCTTGTTGAAATTCAACATTAATAAATTGCTGAATTGCAATACTAGTAATTGCTGTCTTATGAGCATCAATATCTTCGTTTAGATTTACGGAGAATGTTTCGGAAATCGTAGCAGACACGATGACTTTTCTAATTGCTATTTCTGCTTGTTTTACTGCTGTATTGCTGATACTTATAATATCCCAATCGTCTTCTTTAGACTGTATCTTTAAATGATATGCATCCAATGGTTTCGGTCGATATCCAGCAGATGTATTATGTACTTGCGATGCCAATGTATAGCGTATAATATCTCGTTTATAACCACTACTTTTTCTCATTTGATATCCACAAACAAGCCGATCATTTAATGCATTTGGATTGGCAATCAATATTTGTCTCATATTAGGATGAAAATGAATACTATAACAAACAATAGTAGCACTTGTTAAGTTATCAGGATTAATTTTTAATGTTGATGGAATGGACGTTTGTAAATAGTGTTGAAATGCAGCTTCGATTTGAAGTGTCTGACTGTCATCATATATTTTTTCATCATAATCGTCTTGCCAACACCATTTAGCCGTTAATGGAGGTAAATTATAATTCGTAATATCATCATCATTGTCTGCAGCTGTATTTGTATGATCCTTTCCAAGTTCACGTGCAAATGAATTACAAGCTGCATCATCAATATCTAATAAAATGACTTTTCTTACACGTGATTCTGGAGAATCAGCAAAGAATTGTTTTACTGCACGAATGACAATATTTGTACAATCTTGTAATGGAAAACCGTAGGTCGCAGCACTAATGGCTGGTAGTGCTATACTGTTATAGCCTTCTTGTTCAGCAAGTCTCAAACTGGATAAAATACTGGAAAATAATAATGGACGCTCTTGTTGATTCCCACCAAAATATTGAGGACCAATTGCGTGAATAACACTTTTATAAGGAAGACGACCAGCTGTTGTTTTAACTGCTTTCCCAGTAGATATTGCTACATCTCCATTTTTCGCGATTAATTGTTTACATTCTTGATCAAGTGCAGGACCAGCAGCATCTGAAATGATTTTAGCTAAACCTCCTGAATGATTCAATGGCCCATTTGCAGCATTTACAATAGCATCAACATCTTTCGCCTTTGTAATATCCCCTTTCTTCACAAGAATTGTTTGATCACGATTATTTTCCACACATGTTATAGTCGAGCTGGTATCATCATTTCCATCTAATTTTGAAACTTTCGCATCTATTGTAACATCTCGAATGATTGTATTGGTTTCGCGTTCAATACGTTTAAGAACTTGATATGAATCAGCTCGAATTAATTTTGATTCGATAGATGTTAATGTTAAACGGCTTGTAACAATTTTTTGTTTAATATCATTAATGATAGTATTGATTTTTTCTTGAACCGAATTGATGACTTCAGAACGGCCATGAAGGGTTAGTCCATTCCGATCTTTTGAGTCAATATAAACTCTTTGTGTTTTTACTTCTTCAAGTAGAGGTTGAATAGCTTGATAAACAAAACGACGGATATTGAGCTGAATAGGAATATTTATTGTAATACTAGCGATTCGGTTTGCTTTTCCTGCAGCTAAATTCTGCAAAGCGTCTTTTATTTCATCTGCAATTATTTGTGATCGTGCAGGAATAATAATAGTACTAGTTTCATTTTCAAGCTGTACGTTAATGCCCCATTCTTGTTGAAGGCGAGCAATACTCGGTCGTTTTTGCACCAACAATATATTACGTAGGGCCCTATATTCATCCAAAGATGGTTTCCATACAACATATCCTTCAACGAAATGTTTACATTGTTGAATTACATCATCTGCCGTTTCTTCATTTAATGCAACTACAGTAATAGTAACTTTCGGTGTTGTTTGTCTTCTTTCGATGGCTGAATTATAAAACTTAACGACTCCGACTGCTTCATAATCATCTGATTCGTGTATTTTTTTCAGACATGTTATAGTATTTGCGGAAATATTCTTTGAAATATCCCATGTGTCACATGGAAAGTCTTGTTCTTGTTCCGATAAAGTTTCAAGAAAATTTTGAATTTCTGTATGTGCCAAATCAATACGTGACACAGGACCAATCAGTTTTAAACAATGATTATCATTATCATGTTCATTAGTAGTATCAGCGCGACGAGGCGGAGAAAAGATGATGATCTTGATATTGTGAAGATTTCTTAGTCTATGCATATCAGAAGACCCTTTTTTTCTAAGAAAAAATGCCATAACTCCTGATATAGGAATTTGTACTTCGGTATCAACTACATCATTTAAATAGCTTCTAACTTTAAATACTGCGGAATGTACATCTGATTTAAATCCGCTCATTTTCACGTGCCACATACCTCTTGCGTAATAAATATAGATATATACGAAAGGATTCTGTACCAAATGGCGAAGGTAAAATTTAATTTGCATAGATCGTTCTCTAATGGATATGTTGGTTTTCATAGGTTTGCCTCGTTGTTGCTGTTTTAAAATAAATGTTAGCTCGTCTTCTGTTAATGTCCAAGATTCAATGTTAAAAGAATAACTTTGTAGTTCTGCTATGGCGTTAGATAAGGAAACTTCAGAATCACTACATAATGATACTGTAATAGATTGTTTAGCATGATCATTAAAATTCTTCACATTGAAACTATCGGTTGTACAATTTGATGACAATGATGCATCAGAATCTGAAGCTTGACTGTTGTTATCATCATCATCATCATCTTCTTCTTCTTGATTTGCTGCATCTTCATATTCTGTCATTTTGGTATTGTATCGTTCTTTTCTGCTACTTTCTTCGGGATCATCGCTATTCCCTTGGCTTGTATTAGCATAGTACCCATCTCGTGCATTAGGTAAGCCTCTCTTCTGAGTATTGTTACCTTTAATTCTATCATATAAACGGAACTCTTGTAAAGACGTTCCCACACGATATTTTTCTGAAAATTCTTTCAATATACGCCCTTTCCAAGTTGATTCGAGATGCTTTTTCATGTTAAAAGTAATTGATAGATTTTTTTCATAAAGTGTTTTTTCAAGATAAGATTTTATCTTTGTAATTGCAGCATTATTTCCCGATAATTGTAATTTACCGGTTACAATATTTGCGCAATTAATACCTGCTTGTTCTCGAATTGTATTTAGGGTTTTTTGGCCAAACTTTTCAAGGAAATTATTTTTGGCAACACTCAATTCAATTGTATTCGGTAACACTTGATCAATATCAGTAGGGTTGGTATTTGACTGCGATGGATGGTATTTAGAAGGTTGTCTACTTTTCACTGCTAATTCAGAAGATAGTTTACCAATTTTAATTTCAATTTGTACTCTCGACGTGTTAACCGCTGCTTTCTTTCCATTAATGATTACCATTCCATGAGTTTCATTCATAATAATGATGACATGTTGGAAACGTTCGAGTTTCTTAACAAATTCTTGAAACTCTGAATTTTGAATCATGTCTTTATCTACGTCGAAACTTATTGTTTCCGTCAATTGCGATGAGATTGAAGGATCTTCATTATAGCTTGCCATTAAAGTCGATTGATCTATAGGAGAAAGCGTAATTGTTCAAAATCTTAAGAGACGATCCACGAGAGGATCAAGAATAGGGATGTGCCGAGACCGAGGCGTTTAAGCCTGTTATATTCTTATTTAAATGAGAATATTGTAGAAGATCGCGACAGGTTCCCCAGTAAAAAAGTAGCATTTTACTCGTAAGTATCAGAGACCGAAACGAATGACAAAACTGCCATTCGATTCGATTCGGTTTATCTATTAAAACCTTCATTCGATTCGATTCGGCTAAAAAACGAAAAAAAATCAATTCGATTCGATTCGATTCGATTCGACTCAAATTGTATTTATAAAAACATGATATTCACAATTACACAGTATTGTTTTTTTCAGACTGTCATCATCTTAGAATGAGAGTAGTCTGTCGATCGTCTATAGAAATACGTTCAATAAATATAATTTATGAATATATATTCATAAGAATTATTTATCGTTTCAAGAAAAAATACATAGAATATAAATTAATGAACACATTTAAGTAAGCCCTCGACACATTAGAAGACCCTCCCATAATAGAAGACCACTCTGAAAACTGGTTTTTTTAAAAATGATTTCTAAAGTTTTTTGATTTTTTCAGCATTTATGTACATGTTAATATCTAAGTTTTTTAGCATGGATCATATGTTGCTTCCATCGTCTTAGCAGCGTGTCAGCCCTGAGTTGAACAACTCATCAGAAAAAGCTAATAAGAAAGAGCAGTTAATAAAAAAAATGTTTTCTGTATTAAAAAGCATGTCTTGAGGTCACTTTAATATTCCTTTGCAGCGTGCTGTGAAGAAACTTATTCGATTTTCTTTGCGAAAATATTTGTTCCAATGGTCATAAGATCTAATTAATGCGGTGCGCATTCAAACGTGTCAATATGAAGAGTTCTTTCTGAGATCAGAATACCTTCGGTAAAAACCCACTGTGCATTACTTAATACCTCGCTTCGACTGTGCACTACTAGAAATTTTGATACGTTCTTAATATGGAGGATGTCATTCATAATTGGAAAAAATATATCTCTGAGGGCATGCAACGAGACGTGTTGCATGAAATACTCTCCTATGTCCGAGCACGTATTGTTGTTTTCACATAAAACAGTAGTGTCAAACTTGAAACTTGAATTCAATTGAAATTTCAAGTTTCAAGTTTCAACTTTCAAGTTTGGACAAAAACTAGTTTAGTTCGCTTTTTCTATATCAACCTAGAATGCTATTTGTGAATTGACCTTCAGCCACATGAAATTTTTGTGGGCTGATAATAGAAACGATTTGAAGTGCAATCTTATTGGTGCATAATTAGGAACTAAATGAATAATCATCTCAGTTGTACAACGTTCTATAATTATCCTTTAAATAATTCAGACCTATTGAAACAAATTCAGTCGTCAGAAAAATATGGCCATGTTCATAGGTGGCGAAATGTTTTGGATCTAGGGCAGGCTCAACAATTTTTTACAGGATTCGCGCCAGAAAATTAAAAATATGGAGTAAGCCAATTTTTTTGATGTCGTCTTGATGAAACAAAGTTAGTGTTTCTCATTTCAAACTCGTATTTTCCCAGGAAGAAGTGAAACGCTGAAAATGCCGTTTAAACTGTCATAATCACCCGTTCTGTTAGGAAACGATGATAAACGGCAAGAAAAACCGTGATCATCACTTTTCTTGCCATTTTTACGTCTAGTCAGCGTTTCCAAGCGTTATTCACATTAAATAGTCTCTGAAACGGTTAGATAAATCATTTTTTTCTTCGTAAAAAATAGTGAGAAATGTTTATGATCATCTTTTCCAACGAAAACAGCTGTAAATGCTCAAAGTAAATTAATCTTTTTTTGGGACTGGTTCCCATAATTATTTATATTCTCGTGAATTTGTATTTTTTATTGTTTCACAGTACGCGTGAAAGACATTTAGTCCGTTTGGAGTTTCCATTTATCTTTTGATCTGCTGAATTACTTCGAAAAAGTATTCGCTGTAGATTTAATTATGTGAAAAGAGTTCCTTTGATTAAAGTAAGAATCCGCATAACATTGACATCATATGAATCAAAATTATGTGTTCGTGCGAACATTAGAATATCGAGAAAATACAGGTTGATTTTATTGATTTAAAGTCTCAATTTTCACATTGAAATCCTAATTTTTTGATTATGTTCAAAGCTCGAAACGTACGATAACTTAAAAGTTCCTAATATTCTCAAACATAAAATTGCTGCATTAGAGTTTTCGTCACAAATTATCAACTCATCAGTATATGAGCTAATTGAAACTCGTTTTATGAGAAGCAATACAACATTATTAATTATGAGCTACATAATCCAATTAGAAACTCTAGCCAAGTCAAAAGAGAGTAATATTTTCAGTTAATATATATTCGACAAATGTATGTGGCATAAACAGAACGGATCTCATACGCTTAGTAATTGATTGTTAGTCTTAATCAAATTGGAGAAATGGGAAAGCAAATGGAAGAAAAGAAAAATTTAAGTCAAGAAGTAAAAGAAAAAATTCAGAGAAGAGGAAGGAAAGAAGAATAAAGTTAGAGAAGGACAAAAGAGAAAATAAATTCGTCCAGCACATTCATTCATTCATTCAATGAAGATTGCTCAATAAGTAATCATAACTTCTGCGAGCGATGTGAATGTACACAAAGATAAGATACATGAATGATATCTGAATTTAATCTAAAA